TCAAATCAAAAAATCAATTTCCCAATCAAATTAATTTGTACAGTAAAATTTAATATTTGGCGTTCTCGAATTTTTAAACTGCAAAATTTTTTGAGCAATTATTAAGCATTTTACCTCCAAACTTTTGCTCTCGTACTGTTTCATCGCACTGATGCACATATGCTTGGTGCTTATTGTTTGATTTGTGCCGTTACGAATCATTGTATCGGTGCCTGATGGTGGCTCAAATTTGACTGTCGTTCCAGTAACCGATGATGCTAAAGAGATACCGTTCAAATGCTTGAAATTTTGATACGTAATATATAAATAAAGTTTTCATAATATATATGTGGTGAAATGTGGTTTCGGCAAAATTCCTCCCTAGCATTTCAGGAGAATATGGAATTTAAATCTTTAAAAACAAACGGACAGGAAGAGACAACATGTGTCAAAGCAATTTTAAGTTTTCATAATATGTAGGGTAGCTTTACAATAGCGACAAACTGAAAGTTGGTTTTAGGCCTCCCAAATAATTAAAAATTTTGTCCTAAAAATTCCACGCAATGATTACTAGTTTTTGAGATAGGAAATTTGCCTGCACCGAATCCTGAATTTCAAAAGCAAGGCATAAAGCAGCTTAAAAGTTGTTTCCAGATATTTAGCCTTGAACAGGTTATCTTCCGCAAAAATTTCGATTTCCTTACACTATTTTCAGTTGCTGAATTGCAAAAAAATGCCTAAGTTAAGCAAATCACAATTCATTTTCTTGGTCATCTACAAACTTCGAAAAGCGATCTGATGGTTGGTTTTCAGGCTTTTAGTTTCAGCGAATAGGAACACTGGCCCAGAATTTCTAATCTGTGCATTTGAGAATTACCAAGAACTAAATTCAAGGTCAAGCCAGAAGGAACTTTAACTCAAACATCCTTCAGCGAATATCCCTGCAGAGTTTCAGCCCCTTATTTTTAGACCTAAGGATTAGTATACGGCTTGTCAAAACTTTTCTACTTTTCAAAGAAGCCACTTAAATAGTGCTGAAAACGAATAACATCAAGTTCTTTATATAGTGTTTTTAGAAATTACCTCCAAAGCCGGATCCAAAAAGGCCGCCAGTGGGCTGTGTGGTTTGAGTGGTTCCAAACAGTGACGTGCCGCTGGTGCCGAAACCGGATGACTGTGAGGTGGTCGATGAGCCGAACAACGGCTTTGACTGGCCAAAAAGTGACGTTGATGACGTGGATGCTGGCTGAGTACTTCCTAAAATTATTCAAATTTAGAAGCAATGAAAACATTTCGACTTCTCAAAATTACAGCAAATATTCGCGTTTTTGGATGAGAAGTGCCCACTCGGGCAGAGCGCTGGAAGAGATATCGTATATGCCGACAAGTTAGGAATGAAATTGAAAAAGAGCAGTTCTCGATGGAAAAGTTGCCACGGTTTATGAATATGCATCTCCTGAGAGACCCCATCGATAATCCGGGTATCCGTGATAAGTGATGTTTCAGGTAGGGTAATTATCAAGACTACCCGGACTGCCCCGTGATTCTGCGACGCTACTGAGGGCATCTATGAAGCGCAGCTGTATCAGGCCTTCTGCTCTCAAATAAGGGTAGTAACCTCATAGCGTGTAGCTGATCAGACTTGCTTCTTGCAAGTGCACTGGGTGGAAGTTTGGGTCGCTTTATTACAAGTAGCTGGAAAAAAAATTAGTTATTCACTAACCGAAAAGTGATGTTGTTTGGCCAGAAGAGCCGAAAAGTGATTTTTGTCCAAACAGGCTTGAGCCTTGCGTCGTTGTTTGCGCCCCGAAACCGGTTGCTGGTCGATTCGCAGTCGAACCAAACAACGAACTGCCTGCAAGCGAGCACACTCACAGTTCAACAAGCAAAGAAATAAAGTGCTCAGGGAAGGGGAATTTTCGACGTGAAAAAAGTCTGGATTCCTTTAGAAACTCAACAAACAACCATCAGATGCACAGTCCCTTGGAATCTGAAGGCTCCGCTTAAAAGTTTCTGGTTTAACCACTGCG